GTAAGTTTTGAAATCAGGAAGTGAGAGTTTCCAGCTTTGTTCCTCCTTTTCAAGATTGTTTTGGCTATTTAGACTCTCTTGAGATTCCATATGAATTTTAGGATAGCTTTTTAAAATTTCTGCAAAAAAAAAAAAAAAAAAAAAAAAAAGGCCATTGAGATTTTGAAAAGGATTGCATTGAATTTGTAGGTTACTTTGGATAATATTAACATTTTAACAGTATTAAGTCTTACAATCTATTGACTTGGAATGGGTTTCCATTTGTGTCTTCTTTCATTTCTTTCAACAATGTTTTTTAGTTTTCATTGCATAAGTCTTTCACCTCCTTGGTTAATTTCCAAGTTTTTTTTTCTTTTTGATGCTATTGTCAATAGGATTGTTTTCTTAATTTCATTTTCTGAGTATTCATTGTTAGTGTATAGAAATGCAACTGCTTTTGTGTGTTGACTTTATATCCTGCTTCTTTGCTGAATTCATTTATTAGTTCTGACAGCTTTTTTTAAAATATAAAATCTTTAGGGTTTTCTACATATCAGAGCATATCATTTGTGAACAGAAATAATTTTACTTCTTTCTTTCTGATTTGGATGCTTTTTTTGTGCTCCTGGATTTGGTTTTCTAGTATTTTGTTGAGGATTTTTACATCGATGTTCACTAGGGAAATTGGTCTGTAGTTTCATTTCTGTATGTTTTGTTTTTGTCTGGCGTTGGTATCAGAAAAATACTGGCCTTGTAGAATGAGTTAGGAAATCTTCCCTCCACTTCAGTTCTTTGGAAAATTTAAGGATTGGTGTTAGTTCTTCTTTAAATGTTTGGTAAAATTTACTAATGAAGCCATAAAGTCCAGGGCTTTCCTTGGTTGGGATATTTTGATTACTGATTCAGTCTGCTTACTAGTTAATAGGTATATTTAGGATTTCTGTTTCTTTGTGATTCAGTCTTCGTAGGTTTTGTGTTTATAGGAATCTGTTCATTTCATATCCAATTCGTTAGCATACAGTTGTTCATGGTATTTTTATAGTCCTTTGTATTTCTGTAACATCAGTTGTAATGTTCTCACATTTCTGATTATTTAGTTGTCTTTTTTTATTATTTAGTCCATCTAGCTTAAAGGTTTGTCAAATTTGTTGATCTTTTCAAAGAACCAACTTCTGGTTTTGTTGATTTTCTCAATTATTTTTCTATTCTTTATTTCATGTATTCCTGCTCTAATCTTTATTATTTTCTTTCTGCTGGGTAGTTTTCTAGTTTCATAAGTTCTAAAGTTAGGTTATTAACTTGAGATCTTTTTATTTTCTTACTGTAAATGTTTATGATTATTAATTTCCTCCAATCATACTGCTTTCACTGTGTCCCATCAGTTTCTGGATGTTGCATTTTCATTTCTATTTGTCTTAAGATATTTCTGAATTTCCCTATGATTTCTTCTTTGATACATTGGTGTTTGAGTATGTTGTTTCATTTCTATACATTTATAGAATTCCAGTTTTCCTTCTGATGTTGATTTCTAACTTCATCCCATTGTGCTTTGTATGACACCTATCCTTTAGGACAGTGGTCGGCAAACTGGCCCCTTGAGTGTGGCTCTTCCACAAAATACCACGTGCAGGTGTGCATGTACAGTGCGATTGAAACTTCGTGGCCCATGCCACGAGGCCAAAGAGCCGCATGCGGCTCGCGAGCTGCGGTTTGCCGACCACTGCTTTAGGACATGGATTTCTTTGGGGAGGGGCATCATTATCCTATCACAGTCACCAATTTCTATCACATGCATGCTTTTATATTGTCTATCTCCATTGTTAGTTCATATATATTTATATATATATATATATATAATAGAGGCCTGGTGCACGAAATTCATGCACGGGGCGGGGGTGTGTGTGTCCCTCAGCCCAGTATGCACCCTCTCCAATCTGGGACCCCTCGAGGGATGTCCGACTGCCCTCCCCTGCCGGCCTGGTCACCCCCAACTGCCCTCCCCTGCAGGCCTGGTTGCCCCCAACTGTCCTCCCCTGCAGGCCTGGTTCCTCCCAACTGCCCTCCCCTGCTGGCCATCTTGTGTCCACATGGGGGTGGCCATCTTGTATGTTGGGGTGATGGTCAATTTGCATATTACCTCTTTATTAGATAGGATTTCTTTATTGATTTCAGAGAGGAAAGAACAGGGAGAGAGAGATAGAAACATCAATGATGAGAGAGAATCACTGATCGGTTGCCTCCTGCACGCCCCCTACTGGGGATCAAGTCCACAATCCAGGCATGTGCCCTTGGCTGGAATCGAACCTGGGACCCTTCAGTCTGCAGGCTGACACTCTATCCACTAAGCCAAACTGGCTAGGGCCCATTGTTAGTTCTTGAAGGCAGGGATCATTTTGCTCACGACCATATCTGCAGTAGCTAAAACAGAGTCTGGCACACAGGAAGTAGTAAAGACTTTCTGAGTGAATTTCAATTAAGAAAAGATGCTTCACATTTGTATAGTGATTAGTATGAACCAGTGCATTAAATATATCCATTACACATAAATCCTCACAATAACTTTATGAAGTGTATACCACTAATTTCCCAATTTTATAAATCAGACAATAAAGGAATAGAGTTTACGTTTCTTTTCCAAGGTTACACATCTAAAAGACTATTATCCTAGATTTAAACCCAAGCAATCAATGTGGCCATAGTGTCAGGTTCCTACTCTCTCCTTTTTACTTTTTCTTTATATATATATCTATAGGTATCTATAGATATATATAGATATAGATATATATGGATATATATAAAATTGACTTCAGAGAGGAAGGGAGAGGGAGAGAGAAACATCAATGATAAGAGAGAATCATTGATCAGCTGCCTCCTACATGCCTCCTACTGGGTATTGAGCCTGCAAACCCAGCATATGCCCTGACTGGGAATGTAACTGTGACCTCCTGGTTCATAGGTCAACTCTCAGCCTCTGAGCCACACCAGCATATCTGCATTTTTATTAGAGATTTTTAAAAAATATTATAACTGTGCCCTGAATATATATGAAAATGAATGGGGGGAATATAATTATACTGGCCATAGTACAAATCTAGGCCAAAAAGACTTCTCACAATATTTAATAGACTTTATGAGAAATATAAGGAAATACTTTACCTTGTAAAGTAACCACTTTAGCATTATTTGAATTATATCCATTTGTAGAGTGTAATAGCCATTATTTGCAGTGTTGAGAGTTTTCTGTCAACATATTTATTTTTAAGTTAAAAATTCAAGGTAAAAATAATAGATATTTTTTTCATAAACCTGAAAATTTGTATGTTTATTTTGATCTAAAACATATTATTTGCTAGAAATTAAAATTGGTGAGGTGAAAATTAAATAATTAATAGATTGCTTATAATAATATGAATATAAGCACCAGAAAAATTACTCATGGACCAGAGAAACCTTAACAGATAGTGAACAATTTAATTAATTTAAATCAAAAAATGCAAATGACAAATAAGCAAATGAAAAATGTCTTTAACCTCCATAGTAATGAAACAAGAGTTTTTTTTTTAAAAAAAAAATCCAGATTATTCAAAATTTAATTCCTAAAGTTTCTCCTCACCCATGTCTTGGCGAGAGAAAAGTGCTTCCAAGAAGGTGTTCAGAAATGGGTGTTCTAGTCACTGTCATGGAAGCATAAATTGATGCAACCTTTATGAAAAACAATTTAAAATTTTTTTTCAAAATCTATTCGTGTGCAATTTATTTGGCTGTGTAATTCCAAATCTGGGAATCCTTCCAAAGGAAATATTCAGATGTACACATAACTAGTGTACAGTATATTTATCTGAGCATTATTTACAATACAAAAAACTTGAAAAACCTCAAACATTCAATAAGAGATTAGCTTAAATAATATTTAGGAAGATTATTGGCTTAAACACAAATATTTTCATAGAATTATGACCTAAACGTCTTTGATTAACATGTAAATGACTTTTGAAAGAGAATTCAATTATATGGAAGAGTCTAAAATTTTTAATTTAAAAATTAAATCATTTGGCAAAAAAAAAGTCTTTAATTTAAATGGTAATCATGACATCTCACTTCCATGGCATAAATCTTATTTAAATAGTAACAGAGATTAGTTCAAAAAAGAAATAGAGAAAAAGAATGTAGGTAAACAAAGTTACCCTGGAAAATCCCATACAAAGGGTAGCTGTGTATGGGGGAGAATTAGCATTTATGTCCCATTTTTGTACACAGCAAATCACAAACTAGGCATGTAAAAAGGCCTTGAGTTCTGTTTTTAAGACCAACATATTATTTTTGAAATTTCTTGTAATGAATATAACCCTGTCTTTTTAAAAAATCCTCATCCAAGGATATGCTTTATGTTGATTTGAGAGAGAGGAAAAGAGAAAGAGAGAGACATTGATGAGAGAGAAACGTTGATCGGTTGCCTCCTGCATGCACCCTCACTTGGATGCCATCCATAACTTTTTACTGTATGGGACGATGCTCCAGCCAACTGAGCCATCTGGCCAGGGCTAACCCTGTCATTTTGACCCATTAGTTAACATGCTATTTAATGACATTTCTTTAATGACACACTTTCCGGAGTAGCATGGGAAATATGGAGGATGTAGAAGATGCCGTGTCAGCCCTCACATTCTTTGTGGTATCATTGCATAGACAACACAGATACACAGAGCCTTAAAATAATAACACATTAAAGAAGACGTGACCAAGGACCAACATAAGGGTTCCAGACACCAAATGTCCAATGATGTTGGAGGTCAAGACAAATATGGCCACACAGTTGGGACAGTTTCAGGAGAAAAGGAGAGCTTGTGGCGTTTGCTCTGATTTTGAACTTTCCCAGTGAGGACATGCCTCATGTTTTAGTCGGGAAGTTGACCCATTGGTTTAGAAATGAATGAAATACTTTCAGTGAAGTCATGTTAAGTAGATATTGATTAACGCTGCTTGTTGATTAATTCTCATAATATTTTTGAACCTCTTTATAGCTCTCCGAGACACTGGAAAACAGTCTATCAATAGTGACTGGAAGATCGAACACTCTGGAGCCTTCACCTTAGCCGGAACTACTGTTCATTACATAAGAAGAGGCCTCTGGGAGAAGATCTCCGCCAAAGGTCCTACTACGTCACCTTTGCACCTCCTGGTATGAGGGGAAAAGTCGATACCATTGTTTAATCAGCTCCCTGTGGCAAAGGACATCCCCACCGTGCCTTCTCTAAGCTTTTTTCACAATATGAGATGTCAGGTAGACATTTAAAGTCACTTAAGAGGTGGATTTTTTAGGGATTTTAAAAATGTGTTTTCCATTGTGATATATAAAAACGGAAATTATTATAAGAGGAACAAAATTTTATAGGGCCCCACAGACTCAAAGTAGAGGTGAATTACAGGCAAGGAAGAACCTTTTTTTCCTAAAAGCATACATTTACTAACCAGGGTGGATGTCTGTGAAGAGAGAGCTGTAATATGGTAAATCCCAGCACTGTATACATTCATGAAATAGGCCTTGTCTGATCTCTATGAAATGCCTTTGATAAAATAGCACTGTTTCTGGGGAAAGAATTGGGTACATATATCAAATAGTGCTCACAATTACTCTGTTCTGTTTTCTTACTAGGTTAATTGATCCCTGTAAAGAATTCTGGAAATTAGAATGTTTGGGATAAGTTTTTTTTACCATGTAATAAAAGACTAGACTTGAGGCAGGACAGAGTTTGAAGTGAAAGAAGCAGGACAGTGGTTTCTGCGCCCAACCAATGGCTAGTTAAAATGCCCTTTTTGACCTTCATCTCTGCAGTCAGTGCTAACGGCTTAGGAGCCAGAGGGCTGACGGCACAGCTGGCGTGTTTTCTGTCCTAGCGACAAAGCCTAAAATTCAGACACTTCAACACCTCTTTAAGTCCACACGTAAAAACAACTTTAAAACACGATCAGCCGACTCTTTATTTGGAGTGTGGCATGCCACATTATTTAATATCGCCACACAATTTAAGTGGAATTTTTCTTCAATTGGAGACATCTGTGTTGCCAAACTAGGCGCTAGAGGTTCAAATTGTGTATCGGCCCATTTGCTTTTCCTACTTTCATGTGCCTGCAAAGCCTCCGGGGTTCTTGTTCAAATGTCCAGTCTGATTCAGTAGGTCTGGAGAGGAACCTGAGATATACATTTCTAATCAGCTCGCAGGCGATGCCACCACTGCTAAGTCTATGGACCACATTTAAAATAACAATGTTTTCTAGAACTGCAATCAATAGGTTTTACCAACACAGATAAAGGGAGCAAGGAGAGTTAGGTGCTTGGGGACCTTCTGTTCCAAATCTTGACGGTGATGATGATGATGATTCATTTAGCACTGAGTCAGATACTGTCCAAAGTGCTTTATGTTCCTTATGGCATTTAATCGTCATGGTAACCCTGGTAACCATGGTAACCATAGTAACCATAATACATATAATATGTATTATTATTACTCCATTTTACTGAACAACTAAGTATTAGAGAACTTAAGTGATGTGCACAGTGTCTCCCAATAACTTATTTAGTTAAGAACAAACCAGGTATTAATCAACCTACTATGCTGGCCCTTCTGGCATGAAGCTTCGATCTAAGCTCTACACCAGAGAGCCTTGGATCGTAAGTGTATGTATACTTTGAATAATTATTTGTTCATCTCCCCACAATTTCTTTGGATCCTATTATTTCATTTGAAGGGGAAACTTCACTTTGTGCCATGAGCCATCTGGAGAGAGGGGAGGGGGCTGACTAAACAAACATACATACTCAATATCTGGCTCTTTCCATAACTTACTTACTTACTTACTTACTTACTTATTTATTTATTTATTTATTTATTAGTTACAGTTGACATACAATATTAATTAGTTTCAAGTGTACAGCGTAGTGATTAGACATTTATAAACTTTACAAAGTGCTCATCCAGAAGTCACTTAAAAATGACATTTCCAACAACAAATTTTTTGATGATTGGATTACAGGAAATGCCTGCCTTATATGAATGTAACCTACATTTTTATGGAACAAGACCGAAGGTCTTTTACTGAGCCCCTAATTCAAAAATCTTAAAACAGTTGACGTGAGACCTCAGTGCTGGGCAGAGGGAGTTTCCTTGCTGCAGAATTCTTAATCTGACTGGTAATTACCAAGGTTTTTCCTGGAAGCATGAAACATAATTAAAGTCAGTGAACTATGTCTAAAAGAAGGCATCTATGTGACCTGGATTTATTCCATAATCCAAGGGAAACTGCACTTCTAAGATATTTGTCTTTAATGACTATTACAGATTGAAAGCCAGTACTGCATTTTGAAAGGCAATACCTTCTGCCATGTTTCAGTCTGTGCCCCTCAACTGTAACACGGTCACACTTTCCTTCTTGCAAAAGTGTGCTGCCAACTTCAAATGCTTTCAGAAGGAGCTGATGGCTTTATAGCCAAGGTCTCTGTTTCAAAGGGCATTATTTATTCAAGGACAATCTAAAGTTATATTAATGAAAATATAGGTTTTTAGGAAAAATAGACATGTTTTTATTTAATTAAATAAGTTGGCAAGTAGCTATTATTTATAAGTCCATTTTATCAACCAAAGAACTTGTATGCTTATATTCATAACCCATGGACACAGACAATAGGGTGGTGAAGGCCTGGGGTGGGGGACGGAGCAGGCTAGAAAGGGTCAATGGGGGGAAAAGGAGACATGTAATACTTTCAACAACGAAAATTTTAAAATAAAGAAATAAAATAATGAAACACAGGCCAACTAAAATAAACAAATAAACAAACAAATGAATAAATAATAAAAGCTATGCAATAACCAGACTCATCAAGAAAAAGAGAGGACCCAAATAAATAAAATCAGAAATGAAAGAGGAGAAGTAATAACTGACACCATAGAAATACAACAGATTATAAAAAAAATTATTCTGAGCCCTGGCCAGGTAGCTCAGTTGGTTAGAGCGTCATCCTGATACACCAAGGTTGCTGGTTTGATCCCTGGTCAGGATATGTCAAAGAATCAACCAGTAATGCATAAGTTAGTGCAACAAATCAATGTTTCCCCCTCTCTCCCTATCTCTCTCTAAAATCAATTTAAAAAAATATTTTAAAACTATATGGCAGCAAATTGGACAGTCTGGAAGAAATGGATAAGTTCCTAGAAACATACACTCTTCCGAAACAGAATTAAGAAGAAACAGAATATGAACAGACTGATTACAACTAATGAAATTGAAGTAGTAGCCAAAAAACCCCCAGCAAACAAAACCGGATGACTTCACAGGTAAACTTTACCAAACATCCAAAGAACTTACACTAATCCTTCTCAAACTATTCTAAAAATCTTAAGAGGACGGAAGACCTCCAAGCTCATGTTATGAGGTCAGCATTATCCTAATTCCAAAACCAGAAAGAAGAAAATTATAGGCCAATATTCCTGATGAATATAGATGCTAAAATCCCCAACAAAATTAGCAAACCGAATCCAGCAAAGATTAAAATGATCGTACACCAAGTGGGCTTTATTCCAGGGATGCATGGTTGGTACAATTTCTGCAAATCAGTTAACATGATATGCCATATAAACAAAATGAAGGATAAAAACCATATGATCATATCAATAGATGCAGAAAAAAGCATTTAACAAAATCCAGCACCCATACATGATACAAACACTCAGAAAAGTGGGAATAGAGGGAACATACCTCAACATAATAAAGGCTATATATGACAAACTCACAGCTAACATCACACTCAATAGGGGAAAAACTAAAAACATTTCCCTTAAGATCAGGAACAAGCCAGTGTTTTTAGCACTCTTATTCAACATAGCACTGGAAGTACTAGCCACAGTAATCAGATAAGAAATAAAAGGCATCCAAATTAGAAAGGAAGAAGTAAACTGTCATCATTTGCAGATAATGTGATACTATGTATAGAGAACCCTGAAGGCTCCACCAAAAACCAACTAGAACCAATAAACAAATTGAGTAACTAGCAGTTTACAAAATTAATATTCAGAAAGCAGTTGCATTTTATATAGCGATAATGAACTATCAGAAAGAGAAACTAAGAAAACAATGCCATTTATAATTGAATGAAAAAAATTTAAAATGCCTGTGAATAAGCTTATCCAAGGATATAAAAGACACTCAGAAAATTATAGGACATTGAAGAAAGAAGTCAAAGAATATACTAATAAATAGAAGCATATACCATGCTCATGGGTAGAAAGAATTAACACTATTAAAATGTCCAACTACCTCAATAATACTGTAATAACTATATATGATGTCAGGTGGATACTGGAGATATCAGGGGGATCACTTTGTAAAGTATGGGATTGTCTAACTACTATGTTGTACACCTGAAACTAATATAAAATAATATTGAATGCAAACTGTGATTGAAAAGAAAATAAAGATTTTTTTGAAATGTTAAATAAAGGTCCATACCACCCAAAGTACTCTATAGATTCAACTCAATTCCTGTCAACATACCAGTGGTATATTTCACAAAACTAGAAAAAGTAATCTAAAAATTTGTATGGAAAGACCCTAAATAATGACAGAAATCTAGAAAAAGAACAAAGTGGGATGTATCACACTACCTAATATCAAACTATATTGCAAGGCTATAGTAATTAAAACAGCATGGTACAAGCATAAAAATAGACACATGGATTAATGAACCAAGCAGAGAGCCCAGAAATCAACCTACACCTATACTTTCAATCAATTTATGATAAAGGAAACAAGAACATACAAAGGGGCAAAGACAGTCTATTCAATAAATGATTCTGGGAAAATTGGATAGACACAAAAAATGAAACTAGACCAAATTATACCATATACAAGAATAAACTCAAAATGGATTACAGACTGAAATTTAAGAACTGAAACCATAAGACTCCTAGAAGAAAATATAGGCAGTAAAATCTCAGCTTGTTCTCTTAGCAGTATTTTTTCTGACACATCTTCTCAGGCAAGGGAAACAGAAGAAAAAAAATGGGACTACATGAAACTAAAAAATTTTTGCAACAAAGGGAAACCATCAACAAAACAAAAAGACAACCTACTGGATGAGAGGAGATTTTTGCCAATGATAACATCCAATCAAGGGTTAAGATACAAAATTTATGAAGAACTCAGACAACATCAGAAAAACAATCAATCCAATAAAAAAGTGAACAGAGGGTCTGATTAGTCACTTCTCCAGAGAGGACATACAGATTGCCAATAGATATATGAAAGGATGCCCAAGATCGTGAATCATCAGAGAAATACAAATAAAACCACAATCAGAAAAACACTTCACACCTGCCAGGATGGCTATCATCAATAAATCAGCAAACAAGTATTTGAGGATGTGGAGAAAAGGGAACCCCAGTGCACTGTTCAAACAGTGTGGGGTTCGTAAAAAAAAAATGGCATTGCTTTATGACCCAGCGATTCTACTTCTGGCAGTGTATCCAGAGAAATCCAAAACATTAATTTGAAAGAATATATGCACCCCTTTGTTTATTGCAGCATTATTTACAATACAAAATATGGAAACATCCCAAGTGCCCATCAATAGATGAGGGGGTAAATAGTAGTGGTATATACACACAATGAAATACTATTTGGCCATAAAAAAGAATGAGATCTTACCTTCTGTGACAGCATGGATGGGCATAGACAAATACCATATGATTTTACTTATATGTGGAATCTTAAGAACAAAATAAACAAATAAAATAGAAATAGACTCATAGATACAGAGAACAGACTGACAGTTGGCAGAGGGGAAGGGATTGGAAATACAATTGGTAGTTACAGAATAGTCACAGAGATGTAAATACAGCATAGACAATATAGTCAATAATCCTATCTAATAATAGACAAACATGGTAATTAACCATACCTCTGACACGCTTCCCATTGGCTAATCAGGGCGATATGCAAATTAACTGCCAACCAAGATCTCGGCCGGCAGCCAGGCAGCTGAAGCGAACAGGAGACTTGCTTGCTCCAGTGATGGAGGAAGCCAAGGTTCCCCACCTGCTGCTGCCGGCCTCTGAGCTGCACTCTAAGAAACAATGTTGCAATTATAGAAGCTAAACAAACCCCAGAAACCTTCTTTCAGCCAGCCGGGCCTCAGAGCTTGAGTTGCAACAGTGTTTCAATTATAGAATCCAAACAAACCCAGATACCTGCTTTCAGCAGCCAAGGTCTCAGAGCTGGAGCCGAGCCTCAGAGCTAAAGCTGGCTCTCAGTTCCAGTGACAGCCATAGAAGGTAAATAAATCCCAGAATAAAAAAAAAAAGAAAAAAAGGAGAGGTTGGGAGCTTCAGTCACCCGCCAGCCTGAAAACGGCCCTCAGCCCCTCACCCAGACTGGCCAGGCACCCCAGTGGGGACCCCCACCCTGAAGGGTGTGTGACCAGCTGCAAACATCCATCATCCCATCATCCAGGCTGGCCAGGCACCCAAGTGGGACCCACACCCTGATCTGGGACACCCTTCAGAGCAAACCAGCCGGCCCCCCCCCCATGCACCAGGCCTCTATCCTATATAGTAAAAGGGTAATATGCAAACTGACCCTAACAGCAGAAGGACTGGGAATGACTGGTCACTATGACACACATTGACCACCAGGGGGCAGACGCTCAATGCAGGAGCTGCCCTCTGGTGGTCAGTGCGCTCTCACATGGGAGGAGCTCTGCTCAGCCACAAGCCAGGCTGACGGCTGCCACTACAGCGGTGGTGGTGGGAGCCTCTCCTGCCTCCTCAGCAGCGCTAAGGATGTCCGACTGCAGTTTAGGCCTGCTCCCCACTGACAGGTGGACATCCCCCAAAGGCTGCCGGGCCGCCAGAGGGATGTCTGATTGCCAGCTTAGGCCCAATACCCTGGGGAGCGGGCCTAAGCCAGCAGGTGGTCATCCCCTGAGGGGTCCCAGACTGCGAGAGGGCACAGGTCGGGCTGAGGGACCCTTTCTCCCCCGCCCCCACCCCCCACCCCCGAGTGCACAAATTTTTGTGCACCGAGCCTCTAGTATTGTAATAACTATATATGAGGCCAGGTGGGTACTTAAAATATAGGGAGGGCCACTCTGTAAAGTACATGATTATTTAACCACTATACTATACATCTGGAATTAATACAGAGTAATATTGAATGTAAACTGTAATTAAAAAATAAATAAAAGTAAAAAAAATTTTAAAGCTATGCAGTAGTCTGGCTTTGTTCATAAACAAGGTAAATCAATCTCTCTTTGTTAATTAATTTAGCTGAAAGTCACCTATAACTGGCAACATCAGTGAGATATTTAAAACCAAAATAAGCACTGTAATGTACTTAGAATTAGTACCCAGTATGTATATGTGAATTTAAAACTATTATTGATATAGTTGATTGATAATGCCATCATTCTAGTTCCACAATCCACATATTGAATTAGTATTTCTGTTGATATAGTGAACTGAATTTTATTTAAAAAGTAAAGAAAATTAAACTTAGGCTCATTTAAATTTCTCCCCATGTAATTGTTAACTCTGAATCACCTATCATTATAATGCCCTTGATACAGTTCATATAATAAAATTCTTTAATAATTTAACATAGTTTAAAGTTGAGATATATATGTTTTTATGCACCACAATGTATTATATAGATAGCTTTCATAAATCCTCAGATTCATAGAAGTGATAAATCCCATGGAGTTAACCTATTTTATGTAAATGTATTTATAAAGGAACACATATTCTTATTCTTTTATTTAAAATGATTCTTTTACAGGTATATTTCTTTTATTTAAAATATGTATGATTGCCCATGATGACTAGTTTTGAGCTTGGCACAGGATACTAGGGGGGAACAAAACGGACAGGGTCCCTTCTTATGTCCGGTGTAGCCCCAAATACAGTCATTCTTATATTTTCATATATCCTTTATGGTTTATTGCACTGCTCACATATATGTGTACAAAACTAATTTGTTTTTATTTGTTATTAAATTAACATTTATTTAAAAGTTCAAATGGAAAATTAGTAACTATGACAAAATTGTGGTATGAAATTTTTGTCCTAAAGTTGGCTTAGAAGTTCTCTACCCTCGTGGATAGAAATGAATCCCAAAGTCTTCTGTCCTCCTCCTCTGTTGGTGCAGGGACTTTCTGTTCATCTTTCTGTTTTATATGAATGGACATTAAATTGTGAATTATATCTTGCTGTTAGAGAGGATACATATTCCTGTCCCCCACTGCTTAAGTCATCTCAATCATGTATCATTCTTTGGGAAACTGTCTAGTCCACTGACCTGAAAGAAAATGATCTGGTATATCTGACCTCATTCAAGTGGGCTTTTCTTCATAATGCCTTTAGCTCCACAGAGGTAAGTGTGGAACTTCAGTTTTTCCACAAGTATGACAATTCCAACAGTTAAGCAATAATGCCACAATTCTACTGTTTGTTAAAGAAGCATTCATCCCATGCAATAAGCATTTTAGGATATCAGCATTCTTCGTTTTAAGCTTCACATTGAATGTGTTCTACTTTGACCATCTACCTTCATCACTTTTATATGTTATATTATAGGTGCTGCTGTTTCAAGACCAGAATTATGGTCTTCACTATGAATACACGATTCCATCAGACCCTCCTCCAGAAAATCAGAGCTCTAAAGCACCTGGACCACTTTTCATGTGGACACACACAGGCTGGGAAGATTGTGATGCCACGTGTGGAGGAGGTAAAGGATTTTCTAAAAATTTTTTTTTTTTTATTTATTGATTTTTTACAGAGAGGAAGGGAGAGAGATAGAGAGTTAGAAACATCGATGAGAGAGAAACATCGATCAGCTGCCTCCTGCACATCTCCTACTGGGGATATGCCTGCAACCCAGGTACATGCCCTTGACCGGAATCGAACCTGGGACCTTTCAGTCCGCAGGCCGACGCTCTATCCACTGAGCCAAACCGGTTTGGGCAGGATTTTCTAATATTTATATTTCCAGGATAGTAGTTATTTTCTGATTAACTGTTGATAGTTAAGACAGATCTGCAACCTCTTCTCTAAAATTCCAAACTCCATAAAGAATTGGAAAATGAAAGTTTTTTGTGACGCATTTAGTGGCTAAACATGGAATATTTTGTGGCAAAATTTGATGTGAATTGAAAAAAAGTTCATTGAGAGGTATTACATATCTCATTGCTTTGCTTTACATAAATATTAATTTATTTGCTTACAGAGGCTTACTTAATATATACTAGGTGCCCAGTGCACGAATTCATGCACCTTGAAAGCAACTCTGGGCTGCGAGGCTCTGGTGGGCACAGGGGCGGGTTTCGGCCCATCCTCCATGCCACCACCTGGCCCCTCCTGCCACGGCTCCAGGTCTCCTGTCTGCTGGCAGCCCCGCTCCTGCTGCCGCTGCTCCCATGCACCGATGGCACCAGCCCTGCTTGCACCTGCTGATGGTGCAGAGCGATTGGGGCCGGTGCCCCGATCATCAGATTGTCCCTCAGGAGCAGGGGGAGGTGGAGAAGCCCTCAGGGGCGATCCGGCCTGGCAGTCACTGCTCGCACCTGCTGATGGTGCCGAGTTATAGGGACCGGCACCAGGCACTGGCAGCGGGTGCAAGGAGTGCTGGCACTGGCAGCAGGTGTGAGCGCTGGGTGGGACTGCAGCACATGGGAGCAAAGAATTTTCAGTAACCACCAGAGGCTCTCCCCAGTGACAGCAACTGGCGCCCCGCCTTGGTCTGGCACCCCTGCTCACTTGCTTCATCCCTCCATGGCCAATGCCCTCCATGTTCCATGCTCTGCTGTCTGCTGCTGATGCCCACTATGTTTGGCGTGCGCCCCCTGGTGATCAGCGCACATCATAGCAACCTGTTGTTCAGTTCTGCCTTTTGGTCTATTTGCATATTAGGGTTTTATATATAGGGATACTTTTCATACTTTATTATTTGTATAAAGTATTAAAAGTTCTAAATTCCAAAATACATCTGCCCACAAGACCTGAAATGCATGTGAAGGTGCTAGGAAAGAGCAGTACTGAGTTTGCTTCTGAGTTGTCTGCATCCACAAGTAAGAATGTATAGTGCAGATGAAGAAAATATACTGAAGACTCAAGGGAGAGGCCTGGAAATGCAGGAGATAATGGCAGAAAATAGAGCTAAGGTCATGGAGGGGGTCTAGTTATTGGTAATAACCAGACCAGGGGAGCTATTGACTTAACGTGAAAGGCAAGATCTCTGGGAAGAGGAGAGGGCCATGAATGAAGAAGCCTAGGTATTATAAGAATAATTCAAGTAAATCAAATAATTCTGTAATTCTTAATTACAGAAAGGTACTAGGATCAGTGTTGGAAAATGTAACGATAATGCAGTGGCTGAAATCTTAGAGGGAGTGGCCCAGAGGTAGAAGTGTGACTACACCAAGAAGGAGACTGGCGGCAGAGTTGATCCAAGGCTGGAGGTTTAGGAGGAAGGAAGGGTGTGGGCTGGCGGTGGCAGCGAGGAGCAGGACACCCACGCTGCCTCTCAGTCAGAGGTGCTGGAGAGAGAATGGCCCTTGGCAGGGGCTCTGGGGAAAACAAGAAAGTGTCTTCAAGGAGAGAAAAAACATGCTGGAACATTGAAGGCGCAGAGGCTGGAGGGAGCAGCTTTTGTCCCCACATTCCGAGCCCTGGTGCTCATCTGGCTCCTGGGGCACCTGGCCCTCTGGAGCCGCCAGAGCAAAGGCAACGTTTGGGGTAGGGAAGGAGGAGATATTACAGAGCACACTTTGCCCCAAATACAGCATAATTACAACAAGGGGATTTGAAATTTTCTCACAATTTAAAAAATGTTTTCAGTCCTGCTTACCTGATACAGTTTGCATTGGCCACGCATCTCCTAGGGCAGTGGTTGGCAAACCGCGGCTCGCGAGCCACATGCGGCTCTTTGGCCCCGTGAGTGTGTCTCTTCCACAAAATACCACGTGCGGGCGCGCACGGACAGTGCGATTGAAACGTCGTGGCCCACGCGCAGAAGTCGGTACTTTGTGGGCATCTGCTCTGAGACTTGGGACCCTCTGCCCTCCTGACCTCTCCTGCCCCCATGTTCACACACAGGCCTGCTTCTCTGCTCACTCCTCACTGAGGCCAGGACCTGTTTCACTTCAGGGCTTCTGCCTCACGTCCTCCACCCACATAAAAAATACAAACTAGAAACAAGCATACTTGAAATGAAAATCTACATGGTTAGAATTTTCTCTGCAGTAAAACTCAGGTAAGAATGACCAGCTGCCATCTGAGGGCAGGCTGTGGGGAGGGGCCCCGTGGAAAGGTGGATGGTTTCTGTTAGTGCACTGACAGGTGGTCCTTAAAGTCTGTTTACATTTGAAACTCTAGACAGGAACATGTTTGCCCAGTGAATTTTATGACCCTCAATTTTTCTTTCTTTTATAATTGTGGTCTAATAAAAGCTGCATCAGAAGTAAACATTCAGAACTTGTCAGTCTTCAGTTTGAACAAGCAAATTATTAGGGTTCAATTTCCCCCCAAAAATAACATTAATGGCAACCTAGACTATGTTTTGCCAATTACCAAACCTTAAGAAATAGAGGTTCACTATAAATTCCTTTTGCTTCAGAGTCAGAAGGGCTTTCTGATATTCTTAAGCATAACTTCTAAATTATGAACATGAGAAAATTGAAGCAGAGAGAGATTAAGTGACTTCCCAAGGTCACAGGCCCATTAAGGGAGGAGCCGGATTAGAATCAGGATTCCTGAGTTCAAGTCTCCTTTCCTCCTCATCATATACTTTCTTCAAGAGCAGCTTGGAAGCTAAATGTTGTTTCCACAAAATAGGGCATGTCCCTTAGAGATTATATAGAGGTATTTTATTTTATTCTGTTAAAGTCAGATAGAAAAGGACAAGAACCATATGATTTCACTCATGTGGGATATAAAACAGAAAGCAACAAATGAAAAGACAAACAAAAACTCATAGACATGGACAACAGTATGGTGATTACCAGAGGAAAAGGGAGTGGGGGGAGTTGATGAGGGTAAAGGGGGTCAAATATATGGTGATGAAAGGAGACTTGACTTGGGGGGTGGGTGAACACACAATGCAATATATAGATGATATATTGCAGAACTGTACACTTGAAGCCTATATAATCTTATTAATCAGTGTCACCCCAATGAATTTAATTAAAATTAAAATTAATTTAAATATGTTCTTATTTTTATTTCAAATGATTTGTTTCGTAAAATAGTACTAATTATACACAGACTCTACAATTTGTGCTTGAGTAGACCTTCTCTTTCAAATCTGTTCCTTTGTGTTCAGTCAACAGTTTTCAATTATCTCTGACAATGTTAATAGGGCACATATTCATTTCAATGCCAAAATATTTCTGGGCTTTTGGATACTATTTTTCTTTGCAGTTCATAAATTAAGTGGATGGACAGGATTTCAGGAATCTCATCATTTCTGACTTCGCATTGTCAATTTTATAGCCAGAAAAAGCTTTGTAATCTTTCAGCATATTCATGAATTAAATGAGAGTAAGTTCAAAGCACAGAACATTGGAAACAGATTCATGCAAAATTTATCTTCAACAGAAAAGAGGAAAAATAGCACTATTCTACTTCACGGGAAAATACTATGCAAGAGCAAATAAAGTATCACAAGGCAGTATAAAATGTCATTGTTTCACATAAGTTATTTTTTTAATTCTACTGTAAGGCTTTAGATTGCCAGAAGTAAGTGGGGAAATTAAAAAAAAAATACCTGGTTTCATGTAACTACATTTTAATGCTAATGATCTTTTGCATCAGTATCTTCAACTACGTTTTAAAATAAACCAAAGTAAAGTTTTTATTATGCATTTCCATTAATTTATTGATATTAGTTATAAGATATGAAAAGCCTAAGATATAAACCGAATATTTTAAAAATAATGGATACTGGTGATATCAATTAAATCTTTCCAACAGTTTAAAATACATACATGTTTCATCATAAAATTTTATTTTATTGTTTAAAGTATTACAAATAGTAGTACATATGTCTCCCTTTTTTCCCCATTGACCTTCCCCCGGCCTCCCCTACGCCCCAGCAGATGCCCTCAGCCTCCCCCAGAGGGCCCCCCCCCAGTGTCTTGTGTCCATTGGTTATGCTTATATGCATGCATACAAGTCCTTCGGTTGATCTCTTTCATCATCATCTTTTCAATTCTAATGATAATTCTAGAAAAATTTAAATGGATATATCATTTGTGTTATAGCATTGACCATTGAAATCAGCCCTTTTATTTTTAAACAGCTTAAAATGTACTTGTGAAATAAGTGTTTACTTTGCTTTAGTTGTTCTAAAACATCTAAATAATCTTGGAGGGAATGTTTTAAATTTATTTTGGTTTGCATAAAAGATCTGTTTTAAGTGATCTGGATCTCCCAAGGCATTAGAGATGTACCATTCCGTAATACCTGAGGTTGTATGTGGAACCTGCATTTCGCACAGGGCATGCTGCTACTGTCTTATGCCAGAATTTATTGTGATCTGGCGGATAAATTAATTAAAGAAAACCTAGAAGGAAGAGCCCCAAATTTAATATCCTATTTTTGAAATAAATGAAGAGTTGAGCATGCTTTTAGGAAATCTAAATAGATACAATGTAAAGCGGAAAAACATAAGGCAACATTCCACATTCTCCACATGGGTCCAAATCCTAGTAGTTTACAACTCATGCTATTAGCCTTGTGCTGTGGTATCTGAGACACAGTTCCTTGTCCATGACCAGATTCTAAGGAGGCATCCAAGCCTTTGGGTCCAAGTTGAGGAATCATCTTAAGATACAAATGCCTGTACATTTTCAAGGGTGTTTTTCCATTTTAGAGGCACTTTGAATGTACCAAAATAAATGCTATTAGCAATAAATAAATAAATAAATAAATAAATAAATAAAATACGCCAAAATATATTTTCTCTTGGCATTACTTTATTTCAATAAAATCAATACAATGTTGTATTCTATTTCCTTTACTTAAATTAATAAGGACTTTTTATGTTAACATAAATTCTTTATAAACTTGAATTTTAATACCTAAGTGATAACCCATTAACTGATTTACTACAGATAACTGTTCCCCATAACTTGTCATTTTGTTTGCAGATGGTTTTTCACCATTTTAGGAAACATAGTGTTAAGATAAATCTCTAAGTAAAGAAAGCACTTTGGGCTTGAATTATATGCTTCTATTTCACTCATTGATTCCTTTACCAGTACTGACTGCGCATTCACTCTTGCTGGGTGGTCAAAAGACGAGTGCTTTCTGCTTTCAGAGACCTATCTATCCATCTAGCAGATAATAGCAGCATCACTATGCAGAGTGGTCGGGGGAGATGAAGAAACCCTTCTAGGGAATGCATAGGTGCAAAGGCACTGGGATTTAGTGAGAGTATTTATTACTAGGGTGTAAAATATGAGAATCAAGCTGTCAGAAATGATTTGCTCAGAAAAGTAGAAAGAAACTAATTCATGAAGTCCTTTAGTGTTACGCTAGCACTCAAGTTGCATTTAACTTGCAAGTTATGAGATCCCATTTAAATATTTGTGTATGGAAATGACAAAATCAATTTGGATTATATATTGGGTGTAGCCTACAATACAAAATAACAACTTTTCCCTAAAATATAAAAAAAAGTCATTTTTAATATTAAATCCAAACCCTGAGGAAAAAAAAATTATAGAAATGTAAAAAAAAAAAAAAAGTATTAGAAGTGAATGCCATGATGTGGGGAAAACATTTATACTTCGAAAATAACCAGCATTTTATGTATCTTTAAGATGTGCTCAGCCCTAACTGGTTTGGCTCAGTGGATAGAGTGTCGGCCTGCGGACTCAAGGGTCCCAGGTTCGATTCCGGTCAAGGGCATGTACCTTGGTTGTGGGCACATCTCCAGTAGGGAGTGTGCAGGAGGCAGCTGACCGATGTTTCTCTCTCATAGATGTTTCCAACTCTCTATCCCTCTCCCTTCCTCTCTGTAAAAAATCAATAAAATATATTTTTTTTAAAAAAAGAAATGCATGAATACAAATGAATATATATAGACAGTCTTATGGAGTTCTATAGTTCTATTTAAAAGTTTGGAATGTCGGTGACATTTAGAGAGTTTCAGTTATGCATATCCAAACACTGAACCCACTCCCAGGACATGTTTCTGCATTTATGGTGCAAGTTTTAGAAATGTGATCTACCTGGATAGAACATAGTTTTATTAAAAAAAATAATTGTTTCAGAGGTTAAATACAGAGCATAGAAAAAAGAATCAGCTTATCTCCGAGCCTGGGAAAGAAGGAACACAATGTAGTAAGTATCTCTCTAGAAAGAGTCAGTAAGTAAAAAGGACCTTACGTTTTCGAATTTTGCCTAAATTTGTCAATGAGACAAAGGCATAATGCTTATTTTATTTTATTCATAATTGTATACAAAACATCAAAACAGATTTCCCCAATATAGATTTAATGGGAATGACCCGGAGGTGAAGTGAATTGCCATAAAGCAAGTAATACACTGTCAACAGCCTGCAGCTACTCATGGTTCAGGCAGAAGGCCAGTTCCTTCACTTTCTGTTCATCCCTGGGTCCTGCAGAGCTGGATGCATTATAAATACTGCTATTACATGCTAGAATGGAAATTTCCTGTGTTGGCTGGGACATAAATATATATAAAAGAAAAAAAATCAAACAATAACATTTCCATATGGCTTTATGATCTTAGTTGTATTTTCATAGGCATGAAGTGTCTGTAGCTCAGCAATAGATTTTTTCCCCCTGATTCTATTGTTTTTGTTCAATAACATTTTTTTTTAAATTAGGACTAGGTTCTTTTATCTGCCAAAAAACTTACGATGCGAGCTTCCTTGCTGCATTGTGGAAATGTCCCAATTCATACTCACAGGCTTTCAAGCGTTCTTAGAACACCACTTAGGCGCTCCCTGAAGTGGTGCTGATAGTTTTATTCCTCTTGATATATCAATACTTATACTTAAAAGATTTTTTTCAATAGCTCAATATGTTAGCTCTGGGCTGACATAACTAAGGTTAGATATTTACTGAGGAGGGGAAGAAAATGCAGTATAATTAGCCCTGAGTTATTTATTCCACGACTACATACATGTTTAGCAAAAGCCTTCTGGATAATGTCTGTTTGTCATCTTGTGTTGTAGTTGGCAAAAAGCCTTGGTTTAAATTAGTTTAGGTAACTCCATCTATTCTGTAGAAGAGTGTCTTATAACTATGAAGGCTTTAAATTAGATTTTAAAACTAACATTCATATTTCATAAATGTAACATTTTTAATCCTACTTTTAGGTTGGCACCATTGCAATGCAGAAATAATACATAAGCTAAAGTGAGAGAGAGTTGGCATATCTTTTTAATGTACATGCCAGGTCATAAAGGAGCACCTGAATCATTAGAAAGTAGGAGGAACTTGACCAAAAATGTGTCCCAAAATCTTATACATTTAGATATCTCCTACCAGTGGGCCAGTTTTTTCTGACAAAAGAAAAAAAATAAAACAAGAGTAAAATAAATCATTTCTGCATCTTTAGTAGTTTGTTTGAAAGTTATGTGAAGTTGATGGGCATTGCACATGACTATGATTAAATCTAGTATTATACTACCTATGCTAGCAGGTGCAACTGAAGATCTAAATGGTTTTGTTTACATGATATGCAATAAGCACAGATACATTATTAGTTAATACACATATGTCTACAGATATAGTCAGGCTTTTATACTAGAAGTTATCATGGGACTATACCCAGCACTGAGAGGGAAATCCAGGGAGATCTGAATTTGTTCCTTTGCCTTCCACTTGGCCACTCCATTGTCTCTCCCATCCCCCATTGAAGTCAAAGGAAAAGATACTCAAAAATTATTTAAGTATCGCTCTCTTTCTCTCTACATTCCTTCTTTGTTTTTCCCTTAATGCCAGCCTTCCCTCTGTTAACGAATGACAGAGTGACTTTTCAGCCACCAGCCCAGGTCGTCCTATTTGGCATGACCTGGACAAAAACTTCGAGCTTCCTAATTATCATTGCAAGACCATCATAGGACCCTAGCTATTGGGCCTTTGAATAGTGACTCAGAAAACTCGTGATTTTTTTTTCTTAATCCTTAAGGATCCATTGCAATATATATAATGCAAAGTGTCCACTCGGGAGTTCGGCTGGAAGACTGAGTTCAATCGCTTGCTATGACATGCGCTGACCACTGGGGGCGGTGCAGAATGAAGGAAGGCCCTGGCCGGCAGCCAGCAGCCTGGAAAGGGAAGCCCCAGCCGGCAGCTGGAAAGAAGGCCCGGGCCAGCAGCCAGAAGACCCCGATCGGCCCCAATTGCTGGCCAGGCCTAGGAACCCTACCTGTGCACAAATTTTGGGCATTGGGCCTCTAATTTGTTTATAATGTCAAACAATAAGTTAAATTAGATTATTCAATCTTACGTAAATATTTGACTTTTGTAGAGAAAGAATTAGCACATATATATTAGGCTTTTGAAGTGTAAGGTGAAATAAAAGTGTTGTCAGGTATGTGTGCTCCTGGGGCTCTCTGAAATGTTAATACATTGTACAAATGGTCACTTTTACTTCCTGTTATCAGGCTTTATCATACCAGAGAGAGAAGAAAAGCCAGTTTTCTGAAATCTGGTGAACAATGGTAAGGGTCCCATGGCTATTCTTAGAGAGCATGGCAGTCATTAGGGAATGAGGATTTCTAGAATTCTTGGGGCCTTTATCAGAGGCCATAAGAATAAAGGTCTGAGTCATACTCCAAGCTTGCTTTCCGTAACTTAACAGAGCACTGATGATGTACAACCAAACATGCATGCATGTTTATGGGAGTTTATGTGCTTTCATGAAGGTACATAGGTGTATGCAAACATCTTTCCACCACTTAATGCTAAAGATGGCATAGCCCTTTATAACAAGTCTTTAATTAATATTTTATCAACCTATGGTGCCACAATCCCTTTATAATACAAAACTTGCCATTTAATTTCTAATAAGGAGAAAATTATTCATCTTTCTTAAACCTAAAGATACATTTTTTATGTAAATAATATCATCTTCATTGATCTAGCCTAAAATTTGTTTAAAATATCTCTGGAAATTACAACAAGCCTGTGAACACCTCCTAAATCCATTAGATAAAAGCCTATAATAACATTCTTTATATGTTTCTTTCAGGAGAAAGGAAGACAACAGTGTCTTGCACAAAAATCATGAACAAAAATATCAGCATTGTGGACAGCAAGAAATGCAAATACTTAACCAAGCCAGAGCCACAGATTCGCAAGTGCAATGAGCAGCCATGCCAAACTAGGTAACCCTGTCCCACACACTCCGAGTCTTACCAAAGTCACATTTTCTTTAAAACCAATGCAAGGGATCTAAACCAAAATGTAAGCTTTTAAATAAAGCAGGGTCTGAAAAAGACAGAATCAACTTGATGGAATGAATATTGGAGTGGCATAGAGAGAAGCCATGCCTTAGTAACTAACAGAGGTGGATGAGTGGAACCTTAGTATAGCTTTGGAGCAGGCTCGCAACAAGGCTGTTTGGAACGGCCTCTCTCACAGGGCTCCTGAAAACCCATGTGCTTTCATGTAAAACGATGCTGGGCGTTGTGGGACTAAGCCCCAGTGTCAAATGGCCTACAAACTTGTGGGGATGGAATGACAAAAAGAGTGTGAGGCCGGGTTGATTCCTCTAGAACATGGGGACAGGAACATTTCGAGCCTGACACTCAGGGATTTGTTGAGGTTCAGGGAGTTAGGGTGTAGTTTCAAGTTCTTAGGAAGTCAAACAGAATTGGTCTCCTCTCACTGTAGTTTCTGCAGTGGAGTCAGTGAATGTACACATCCTACGACTCAGATACAAAGACTTTGTAGTTTTGCTGGGATCTGTAACTAGTAAAATCTTCATGACCCTCCACCACAATGAGTAAGTATGGGCGGTGAAAGGGGGAGGAGGGACAGAGGTGCCTGCGAACTCTATTTAGGCTTCTCTAATCTCTGTGGTCATGTAGGCTAGTGCTCAGTTCTTCTGGTTTCTTTACCCCCTCCCATCCTTTCCCCGCTCTGATGCTCTGTATCCTGAGTTCACTCAAGTTCTGCTTATTGGAAAACTGCTGTTAAGCCCTGCAGATCTGGCTTGTGCTGTGTTAATGAGAGCTTAAAAGAATTTCAAAAATCCTTCCTTCCTCTACAAAGCTGACATTTCCAGACTTGCTTTTTTTTTTGGTAGATTTTATATTTTTAAGGTATCAAAAGCTGATTATCAACCTTTCCTTCCCTTTGCATTTGTCCTCTAACAAGCATACACCTCCCTCAGGAAAGTAATATGGTTCTAAAGAATAGGACAAAAGAATGATCTGTAAGAGAATGTGCGAAAGGTAAAAGTACCTTACAATACTTTCAATAATGTTACATATCTGCCTGGCTATAAGCTTTTCAGCCTAACTACATAAGTAATTGAACTAATTAAGCTTTTTTATAAGGCTGAGTAGTAATCAACCGGAAAGACAATCTAAGGAATTATTGCTTCCAGCAGTCATATCTTTGGGTCCTTTGCGTTCAGTACTGGACAGATGTAGAAACAGAGTTTTGGACCTTTTTCCTGTCAGCTAAAGAACCTGGATACTTTCTTGTTATTACCAGAGGCCCAGGGCACGAATTCGTGCATGGGTGGGGTCCCTTGGCCTGGCCGGTGATCGGGGCTGATCAGGGCCTGCTGGCCGGGGGGAGGGACCGCGAGAGGTTGGCTGGCTTCAGGAGGTTGGCTGTGGGAACACACTGACCACCAGGGGGCAGCTCCTGCATTGAGCGTCTGCCCCCTGGTGGTCAGGGCATCGTCATAGCCACTGGTCGACCTAAGCCTAATAGTTGCTTAGGCTTTTATATATAGAGATTATTCCTAAGAATTATCTTTATCTTTATTTCTTTTTAATAGATATTAAAATGCTATTTATCTTGCATTGAGTAATTTATTAAAATATTTCAAAACACCATTTGTTTTATATACCACCTAACTTTCCCATGTGGATGAACGAGTAATGGCATTTTCTGCTATATTGGGAATCTTGAGTGAGCTGCTTAAAGGACGAGAGTGTATTTGTCACTTTCTCACTTGGTCACTGAAGGATCAGAGTGTACAGTGCACGCCATGTGTTGTTGTTCATTCGCCGACCTTAGCTATCTTAGGAGAAAAGGACGCGATAATGACTTGGTAAAATGAATAGTTTTAAAAGGTCAGTCTATTTCTGAGTGAGGGATTTTTGAGCTAGAGACTGGAAGTCTTTTTGTAAGAAATCGGTATTTTTCTTCTCTTGGAAAAAAAAGGCAGTATATTTTGTACTACCAAGAAGCTATATTGATGGGGTTAACCAAAATATTGGAAAGTAAGAATGAACCTGGGTGATTATTAGGGATCATCACAAGAAACTTTCCAAAACTTACTGGCATTGCACAAACTTTATTCCTCCTGCCTCTTCTTTTGCCCCACCTAGTAAGAAACATTCTAATTTCTATTCACATTTATTGAAAATGTCACCAAAATGTCTGATGGAACCCTATGTGCCAAATATAAAATATATTGATGTCCTAGTAAATAGCTTTGTAAGAAAGAATCCTAAAGATAAGGAAATGGGACAATTCCAAATTAGATGGATTCTATAATACGTGTTCTCCTTTTTGAGCAGTTTTCACAAGGAATGGAAAAAAATAACTTTTTATCATTATACTAAGAATCCCTAAAATAATTTTATTTCAAAAAATGAGATTCCATAACATTGCAAATTGTTCTTTTTTTCAGTTGGGGATTCCATAGTTGGGGAGAGAGGGGCATGGATTTTAATGTGTATCCTTGTGCAGAAAGATGAAGCAGAACCTGAATGAAATTGGATGATAAGTACACCCTTTAGGGAAAAACCCAGTAGGAACCTCCAAAGCAAGATGGTAGGTCCACATCATTCTTAATAGTCCAGCACACCAGAACCTTGCTGGAGGAGATACTGGAGTGCAGGTGTTATCATGAAGTGTTTTTTTGTTTTGTTTTTTCGTTGTTTTTCCCTCTCCCGACCCAGAAACAAAGGCATAGAATCATTTAGAAGTAAACCATTGTCCAGATAAGAAAACTAGGCGGTAAGAGGATGTAACATCTCTTAGTCTCATTGTTAAGAACATATGGGCTTAAGTAAATTTGGAATGACCGAGGCTGTTTCTGTAAAATGGAGAGAAACATACTGTAAATTCCATTTCGAGGAATGTTTAACGCCAAGCTCTTGTAGGAAAAGTGTTCCAGATGCAAAGAGGAATAAAGCCCTGGTCCCTTCCTTGGAAGAGGTTATGTACTCGGCAGCAAAAGAAGGCCACGTTCTCTAGGTAGCCTGTGAGCCCCTCCACTTCCCCAGGGAGTAACGTGTACTTGTCTTGTGAGTGCCACAAGCCAGGTGACACCGGGCAGAAAGGAGCACAATCCCTGCGGGTCGAATGGGAGAAGCCCTGCTAGGAGGAAGGGACTTGGAGCTGCTATCGAGGATCTTAGCAGAAAATGATCCAGAAACAAGTGCCGTGAAGTGACAACAGAGGGTGTTTGGGGAGCGAGCTGAGCATATGGCTTATTTTCTAAACAAGTGGGCAACGAAGCTAGAGAAGTTTATGAATCAGTATGGCTTTTAGAAACATAAGGTGGCATAGATAGTCTACGCTACATACTGAGCACCTGTTGTATGTCAGCCTTAATAAGCACTTTTACAAGTGAGAAATACTTAACAGATATTAACTATTGTTTTAAGAATATGCACAGCTTGTACAGAACCCAGAATTAAGTCCAGGCTTCTGACTGCCCTGCTCTGTGCTTAAATGCCATTGTGCAGATAGTTGAGTGGGGGACTCAGATCCCACTGTGAGGTTGTCCCAATAAGGGGAAATGCAGAAAGGGTTTTATTGACAGGAATTGCGCAAGTACCAAATTTCATGAAACACTTTTCTGGCAGAGGCCTTGGTTCATTCCTGAAATAAATTTGGAGCAGTGTTTAAATTAGGAGTTCTTAGGGGAGACCCCAATTCATTAGAAATGATAGCTGTCTTTTAATTTGTTTCAGTGACTGTTGCTTTACTTTTACTTATTTTTAATTTTTATTATTGAGAGTATTACATATGTCCCTGTTTTCCCCCATTGACCTCTTCTAACCCACCTCACTTCCCACCCCAGGCCTTCACTACCCTATTGTCTGTGTCCATGGGTTATGCATATATGCATACAAGTTCTTTGGTTGATCTCTCCCCACCTACCCGCTACCCCCTTTATTCTGAGATTCCACAATCGGTTCCTTGCTTCTATGTCTCTGGATCTGTTTTGTTCATTAGATCCACACATGAGTGAGATCTTTGATACTTGTCTCTCTCTGACGGGCTTATTTTGTTTTCTTGCTTTACTTTTAGATGGATGATGACAGAATGGACCCCGTGTTCACGAACTTGTGGCAAAGGGATGCAGAGCAGACAAGTGGCGTGTACCCAACAATTGAGCAACGGAACCCTGATTCGGGCCCGGGAGAGGGACTGCGCTGGGCCCAAGCCGGCCTCCGCCCAGCGCTGCGAGGGCCAGGACTGCATGACCGTGTGGGAGGCGGGGGTGTGGTCAGAGGTGCGGCACACACCCCATTTCTTTCCCTTTCCTTTTCTTTTTTGACTTTTAGATTCTTTAAGGTCGTGTTGTATCATGTTTAGAATCTGTGCACGACAGTGAGTATTTTTCAATACCATCTGTTGATTTTGCTGATAATAAAAAAGTATAAATAATTTTGAAAATAGGGAAACAAAGATTTTTTTACTCTTTATTTTGTAAATAATGTAACATGATGAAGAGCATATTTTATGTACATTTTAGAATCCTGCTTTTTCATTTACATACCATGAGTATACTTTTAAGTGGACACATATTAAATTGACTCATCACAAATCCCTGAACATTTAAACGAGAAAGGAGAAGAAAGAAATTAACATTTAACAATCATTTTCTGTGAGCAAGGACTATGTTTTTAATTAATATTTAGTACGTTATTTATATTTAATCAGGAATTCAAGAAAGTTAACAGTTTTATCCTTTTATAATATAGCTTAGAGAAATTAAATCATTTTCTTGAATATTCAAGATAGTCTAATGCAAGCCATAAATTATGAGATATTTATGTATTTGTGAAAAATTTGAGTACGTGTAAAATATTATTAGCTCCATGCTTAAGTTTTCAGGAACACAACTGTTGGAATCTGCATGGCCGTTCCTGTACTGTGTTGTTGCTAAATGTTTGCCTGCACCTCTTTCTTTAGGCCTTTTTCAGAAACAGATATAACTTGGATTTTCACATTTTGCCATAGCTCCCATTTCGCTCACCCTCCCCTGTTCCACCTAATGTCATTCTGGTCCCTGTGTCCAGATAGTCAGTGATACGTACCTTTGGGAAGCTTTACATAATAGAAAGCATCAATGTAAATAGGCGGGCAAGCTGCACCTAAAAGGTTGGTGGGATATACATGTGTGCTTCATATCTGCGATGTCCCCACTGTCAGTCAGGTATCAGTTATTTATAATGTAAATTAAACTGTATGTGAATCAACTTATATTTCAATCCATACAACTATTTAGAATGATGTTTTCTAGGGCTATATAATCATGTAAAGAAATTCTTTTTATTTTTGCTAAGATTTTCTTGGTTTTAGCTTTAAGAACAGTTTGTGAGAAATGGCATTCTATAAGAAATTTGGACACAGACAATAGTGTGGTGATGATGAGGGGGTATGGAGGTAGGTGGAGGTGGAAGAAGATATAGGGGGGATAAATAGTGCTGGAAGAAAAGAAAATACATTTGAAAAAAATTCTCATTTTTTACATTTCTAGGCTAACACAGATAAAATCTTAGCAAAAATAAAGCAATGAACTTTTTTACACAATTTATGTAAATATTTGATGTCAATCAAATGTAGCATTTACATTTTGATCATTGCATTCTAATTGTTTTTCCTAAATAATCCCTATGCTCTATTTCTCTCTGCAATCACGGTCCTGTGCTCCTGAAAGCCTTTCGCCCCAGCACTGTGCCTGAGCTGCCTCGGGCCTCTGATACTGGTGCATAGCCTGTTCTCCCTATTCTTTATGTGGGTTATAGGCTTATGGAGATGAGTAGGATCCACACTTTACAAAATTTCATCATTTGTCTCTCTTCTAAACACTGGATTTATGCAAACTCTGATGTTTTCCAGTGCTCCGTCAAGTGTGGCAAAGGTGTCCGTCAGCGGACCGTGAGGTGTACTAACCCCAGAAAGAAGTGCGTCCTTTCCACCCGACCCACGGAGGCCGAGGACTGTGAGGATTACTCCAAATGCTACCTGTGGCGAATGGGTGACTGGTCTAAGGTGAGAATCATTCTGCACATTCTCGGTATTGGGTTTCAATAATATCCGCATTGTGCTGGATACTACATCCATATAGTATGGATGTAGGAGGGATGGAGGATAGAGGTGAAGATTATGGGATATGGAGTGTTATATCCTCAGGTTCAAATCCTGCCTCTGCCCGTAATCATGATCTCTATAAAACTGTTTTAAAGATTAAGATAAAATGTATAAAGCAATTAACACGATTTTGGACACAAAGAAAACTCTCAAAATACAAATCATTGTTGCTTTGTTGCTAGTTTTTGTGATGTTGTTCTTTGTCAGATTATTTTTTGCATAAAACTTCCCTAAGAAATAGAATACTATCAGGTGAGTCAATTCAAAATATAATTAAGGAAAGTATTGGCAAAATAAAACAAAGGAATGCCCATCATAATAGGTAAAAGACAGTTTTTTCCTACCAATATTTGGGGTTGTAGATAGAAGACAAGAGAAGGAACGGAATTCTTGAAGCCTTTTGGTCAAATCAAGTGGACACAGTTCATTTAGTAGTTGAACAGTAAGTTTAATACAATGATATTAATAATGCTTATTTAAAATTTATGAATGGAGTCTCATATAAATGAGCCATAAAAACAGGTCACATATTCACTCTGCAAAGTGACTCGATAAATAAATATATAAATCCCATGGTTTAAGGTAAAATTCTGATCACATCTAGGGAAAACAGCTCTCAAATACTAGTTTTCAGAAATGTAAATATTAATCAAATGGTCCCCTGTGCCTTGCCACATTTAGCTGTAATCTAATATACTTATTGTTATGGGATCATAAAATTCTAGGGCTTAGAAGAGACTTAAATCCTCTCTTTTCCCCTTTTATTTACTGTATAAATAAAAAGCGGTGGCTGCTGGGGAATGGTGGGGAGTGCGGTAGCTCTTCGTAAGTAACACCGAGGGAAATTCTGAAAGAAAATTTTTCATTGAACTATGCACTGTGGTTAGCCAGCTTGCCCAGTATTGAAATCCATGACATGGCCTCTCCTCACTAACAAAAGTTTGCATATTAACGTAGCATTTGCGTTCTCAGTAAGCTATGCTCTCTTTCCACTACTTACAACATTCAGAGTTCACACTGGGACTCTTACAGGAGGCATTTGTAAACAATGTACATCAATCCCTGGGTACAGAATTAGGAAATATTCAGCCCAATCCAGGAATCTTTTAACTGGTGAACCATATAAGGAAACATCGTACTTCAGAATAAACAACTTTTAGGTGAAACAAAATTCCAAATTAACCACAAATATATATTTTTAATGTTAAGGTTTATTTATGTTTCCCCAATTCTTATAGAGGAAAAATACAGTAGGATGATAGGGAAAGACAATGATTTGGAAGTCAAGAGACAATGGGGACAGTTTGGACTCCCTCACTGTGCAGATGGCCAAACTGGTTAAGCCACTGAATACCTTTGTGTATTTGTTTCCATTGGAGTGAAATAAAGAATATAGACATCACTATTGTGTGTGTATATAAACTCTTAATTCAGCTCTGAAGGCATGAACCAGGATGAGAAAATAAAGTACTGGTTGGAGGGGGCAGAGAAGATCGCTTATTGCTCACTTTCTAGTATAAGAACTCCCTATTCCTTTATTTGGGCCAGGGAAATTCTAGAGATTTTCCTTAAGTGATTCTAAACTAAGGAAAAATTTCAAAACCACTAGAATATATGAGTGACCTTTTCCCAACTTTATTAGTAGAAATATTTTTAAGTGATAAATGTTAACTACAAAAGACAAATTTGTAATTGTAAAAAACCAGAAGATCCAGGTTTTACTGTAAATCATGACACAGAACTAACTAAGCTCCTCCATTGCAGCATATGGAAATAGGGCTAGCAAATCCTATTTTCATGACATAAACTGTTGATTAAAATGTGCCTATTATGTGGACTCTGGTTAAATCTTAAGCAAGATCAAAATTAACTGGAGAGATTATAGAAGACATTAGTTTTGGTTTTTTATGCTAAGCCTAAAAATATATATATTAAAATTTTACCACAATTACATGTATCTAACTTTTATTTTTTTATTTTTATTTTTTTTAAAAAAAAACAAAACGTGTATCAAACTTTTAAATGTACTTGGATTGAATTACTTTAAATTGATTTTGTTGAGTTACCAAATTGCTACCAAGCTTATAGTACATGGCCATTGTGAGGAACAAAATCAATAGCCACAATATATATTCATTACTGTTCTATGACTTCTTACCTTTGTTTGTTGGACTGTTTGTTTCTTTGTTTGCTTATTTAGGAGATCCAGTATGTTGCATTTTTCTTCTCTTTCTGTGAATATAAATCTGCTCTTTACCCTAAAGCCATTTTCTCCTTCTTCATTTATATCAGAGGCCTCAGCATAACAGATTCAAACAGCAGTAGAACTTGAAGCCAGTGGCTACATGTGAACTTCATTGATTTCTCTCCTCCTTTTTTCACGCCTAAGATACCACTATCGTGTTAAAATGAAGACCATCTCAAAATAATTACAGAGAAAAAGAATAATGCTGTGATATTTCAATTTCAGTGGTTAAAATATTAATGGACAGAGGAAACATAGATCTCTTATTCTTACCAGCTGTGACCCTGGGATAAGGAGAACAGTAAGATGTGTGCAGTGGGAGTGGATTTCTGTGCTCTTCTGAGGTCAGTTAAGCGGTTAGTGTCACTCAAATTCTACTAACATTGTTAAACTGCTGATACACCTAAGTGGACTTAAAATTCACCCTTGCATTCTTTAATCCGGAGTATTCAATGGACTGTCCAGAAAGCCGAGCTCTAAAGCCCCGCTTCAGTAATATTAGTAGAGAATCAGGTAAGAGACAGATAGACTCTCAGGTTCACTGTGTAAAACTCATTGACCACTATTGGACCAAGGTAATTTGGGCTAAACAGTTAAGGCTTACTAAGAATATGGCTTATGCCTCACACCGTGTTCACTGCATGCGTGTCAGCCTGTGTGATTTCTGGCATTTATGATTTGGTGGTGTGTAAACAGTGGGAAAATTGCTCTCAGCTTCAAAGGAAAAATCTAGATCCAAGTGTACTCAAAGAGAAAAATCTCCTGTCCTAAAATCATTACCTCTGATTTCAACCCTGTAATAAGTTGAATAATACTCATGTTTATTTCATCGAGATTGGAGAGTTGGCAAAAATAGGATACAAACTATGTGTTCGCTCTGTTCTGGCTGGGCTTAACCGTTGACACAATTATGTGCCACACTGTGACCGTATCTCTGATGCACATATGGCTTTAGGGTCTTTCCTGGGAGAGCAGAATACAACCCATATGTTCTCTGGCAGTATAAGTCTGTATTTGCTCTTTTAAGCTGACCAAAGTATAGAATACTGACTTTAAAGATATATACTGACTTTAAAAATAACAGCCTCTTTATGTTCAATTAAATACCATATTTTCTGCCTCTACTTGGCCTGACTTTATTTGAACTTCTACAACTTTCTTGTTTTCATTGTTGGAAACCAGTAGAGGAGCAAATGAAAGAGTACTGTTTTATCTACCAGTTAGACAGAATTTAGTCCTTCATGAAGCTTTTTAGAGTTAACTTTTCTTTTTCTTTTTTTAATATATTTTATTGATTTTTTTACAGAGAGGAAGGGAGAGAGATAGAGAGTTAGAAACATCGATGAGAGAGAAACATCGATCAGCTGCCTCCTGCACATCCCCCACTGGGGATGTGCCTGCAACCCAGGTACATGCCCTTGACCGGAATCGAACCTGGGACCCTTCAGTCCACAGGCCAACGCTCTATCCACTGAGCCAAACCGGTTTTGGCGAGTTAACTTTTCTATGCAGTATTAACAAATGGTTTACACTTTTTCAGGTGAATTATAAGGACAACAAAACACCTTGGTATTGCAGATAATCATGGCTTATTCTCAATTTATACACTACAATTTGAATTTAATTTAGTCCTTTAAAATTCTGCGAAAAAAATAGTATCATATCAAATTATGATATTAATAGATTATTTTGAGAAGAGATTATGAGTCTTTTGTGATGATGTAGTACAAAATGATGCTCAAAGCACAAAAAATCATTTTGGGTGATTTAATTAAATAGATGATATGATATATCTTTGTTTAGAAAAAGTATATTTAAAGCTTTCAGTATAAAAAAGTCATTTTTAACTTTTGCTGCAGAAGGAAACGACAATTATAGTCAGTATATTCATTTGAATAGAGAGAGGAATTAGATAGAAGAGGAACCCAAAAACTAAGGTAATTCTTTCTAATGAGTAAGGGAGCAATATCAGACTAAATACGTGTTTCCTAACGATATAAATTGCATTTAAGCTAATAGGAATTCTACTTATTCTGAGTCATTCTCTGAGTGGAGATTTTCTAGTTCTATGTAGTTACAAATCTCAAAATGTTATGCTGCAATTATTTTTTTCCGAAAAACAATGCTGCGGCTCAAAATAAAACAAATCGATTGCTTCATAGCTTATTTTTGAAACCATGAAAAACCTGCATCTACTTGTATTATTTCTGGTAAAAATAATTTTCTTACCACACATACTACAGATGTTATTAAAATTCACCTAGTGTATTATATTGTCCTTGGACCCTGTAATAACTATGGGAAAATGTGTCCTTAGTAGTTAGCACTGTATTTTTCAAAGAAGCTCAAAAATAGAATTTTAAATTAATTAAGTAAATTATGCTCTTTCTTTAAGGTGGCTTTGCGTAATCAAATGTTACAATCTTAAAGTGTTCCCATATTGCATAATTAGTAAATGAAAACAATTCAACAGGAAGGTGCAAGATCAAAGAAACAACAAATCAATGAAAGATTCCTTAGTGACATACTTCAAACAAGTCTAGAAAGACAAACAGAAGATTTATTACCCTGTCATACCTTTATTCAGATTGGCCAGCAGTCACTGTAACTGGGTTGGTTTGCGCGTTTTCACCTATCGCTAAAAAAATTATTTTAT